ATAATGTTTTAAAATAGTATACAAATGTTAATTCGTATACTGAGTGATAAGTAAATAAATAAATAAACTTAACGGTTTTTATTATAATAAAGAAAAAAATAAGCTCTCTCTCTCTCTCTATCGCCCTCTCTCTCTCTCACTTTCAAGGGGAAGAGAACTAATGCTTAAAAAATACAAAAGAATATAGTATTATTTTCATTATTCATACATTATCCTCAAAAATTGTATATTAATTTAACTAATACATATAAAATTTCCCTTATTCTTTAAATAAAGTAAACGATATGTATGGCAAAATCGAAAATCGTAGCATAAACAGGGAAACATGCTACTATTTTTGAATTTGAGATTTATTTTGGTGGACTCCGTCTATATATTTTTTTATAGTTTAATTTTAGTTTAGTTGTACATTTTAATTTTGAGTTGTGTTATTAAGCAAGACAATTAGGACGAAACAATTACATAAGGACTTAAAAAGTCATTTTTGTGCAACATATCACGTTTAATTAGAAAGCAGTCTTAAACTAATTAAATAATAACAATTATCATTAATATAACTTTGTTTGAGAGTAATTACTGCAGATTTTGAAGAAGTCGATGTTGTTTTATAAGCTTTTATTTAACTTGCAATGTTTGTATGTTTGTTCGGATCAAATTTTGCAATCGAATTTTAAAGCAATTGAACTAAAATTTTACATAGGTATACATTTATTTTAGATGACAATGCATGGTTAGATAAGTGACGTCATTCTAAATCCAACATGGCGGACTCCCAAGTCCTATGTTTTTTTTATATAACCCCCATGATATGTATAACAAATGAAAGGGTTTACTGAGAACAATACTAATAAAAACCTAAAAATAAACTTAAAATTAAATTAAACTCATTTATTACACAATTTGTATGATATAAAAGCTCGTTTTTAAAAATGTTTTTTTTTATATTAATTTATTTATAATTAAGTAACTTCTACTTGTGTGTTTATATAATGGGTTTCGTTCATTACGAGTCTGCTTTAACTGGCCCCGAGTAATTTTAATTTACAAGAATTTTGTTGAAAAAGATTCTAAAAATTTAACTTTTTTTTTTGAGGGCAACATTGTATAGTCTATGTTCTATGGTTTTGCGTAGCGTTATTAAGTCTTCTTGCTGTATAATAGATTGTGCTATAATCATTAAAAAGTACTCTAATAAGATTGTTTTTTTAAATATAAAACCTAATAAACTTCGCTTGGAGTAATAAAGTTGAGAAAGTTTTGAGTGTTTTTCGCCAAATTCATGGTAACACTTAAGTAAGTATAAAATATCTGTAGGAAAGAAATTCGTTACTTTTGATGTTAGAAATATGTTAAAGTTATTTCATTGCCAATGGGAATTTCCATTGAGTCGGGAATTTAAATATTAGTTAGAATGAAGTCAAAATAAAAAAATATTAATTCAATATTGGTATTATAAATACATTCATTGTAAGTCCAAACATTGTACGAGCAGTTCGAAAAAAATGCCTCAATCCTATAATTATCACACTTTATTGCACATTACACTGTCTGTCTGCCCATTTGTCCGTCCATCCGTTTGTTTTAACTTTGAAGTCATATATTTTGAACCTTAATATATCTATATTTATGGCACCCAATTAAATTATAAAAAAATATATAAATATTTTGAAGAATTTGCAATAAAAGGAGCAAAATAATAAGCCAAATAATAATAAAAAGAAAAAAACGTAAACTAAGTGAGGCCTGATTACCTATCCTGAAATGAACGATTGGCGTAGAGAGTTCTGGAGACGTGCAGCTTTCACAGAAAAGGAGTTGGTAAGAAAACAAGAGGAGTAAAAAGGAATTTAAGGGATAAGCGTTTCACTAGATCGGAGAGAACGAGTATGAGAGTTTCTGAGAAACACGAAACGCTATTTAAGCCAAAGAGGAGTAAAAGATGAAGTATAAGTATGAGTATTTCGAAAGCTTGATATTTTTTGGGAAAGTTAGATACTTTATACACTCCTGGGCAGTATGCTAATCTCAGTGAGATTGGTCGCCGTAGCTTCAATCGATCAGGACGAAAAAAAAAATATCTGAGGCCCAGAAGCTATGTAGTTATATCAAATATCTACCTCAATCGGTCGACAATCGAAATAATGGTTATATTTTGGCTGTAAGCCAAAGCGTGACTAGCTTTGAGCGCCAAATACACATTATCATGAAAATTAATAGACATTAAAGGTGTTATATTTTCCCAACAAAATATATTTTATTTCAATATAAGTATTTACTCACTTTTAACAGCACTATTCAGGATTCTAGTCAGTATTGTAAGTCTATGAGCAAGCTACATACATCTGGCTCGGAAAGCAGTTCTGTTAAGTGCTTCAGAAACTCGGTTGATGTTTTAAAAATAATTTATGCTTAAAAAGCCGGAGTACAATAATTTTGTACACAAAATTTATTATTTAGTTCCTATACATAACATTTATTTTATCAACAGCATAAATAAATTTTTATTACATGTCTCAAAAAATACTGTGAAAAACAAAGTTTATTTTTCTAGCCGCTAATTTATAACAGCGTGTTACCAAAACAAAGAGTTAGCTGTTAGGCACATATTATATGTAAAAAAAATGTCTTTCCTTAGTTTGACCGTAGCATTGTATGACAGTTTATATGAAACAACATTTAAAATTTCACTATACAGTACTAATAGTCTCTAAGTTAAATAGCTGTGACATATAGACATATACGACGTAATTACAAGGATAACAAACATTTAAAAAAATCAACCATCGACAAATTTAAAATCTGCATAACACCCCAATATAAAAGCGTCAAAGTTTAACAAAACATATAATTTCATTATTTTTTATATATATATATATAAAATTTCTCTATCACATCACATAATATACTACAATACTATATTATAATCAAACTATCACAATGAATTAAAGCTGTATTTGACGTTGCACAACGAAATTATATAGCTAACAAGGAAAATACGCCCATTGATTCATTTTCAAAGCTCCGAATGTACTTAAAAAATAAGCTTATTTTAAAAGCGACCGAATAATAGTACTCTGAAATATTATCAAGTTATTTTTATAATATGACTTTTTAAACATTTTGTGATATACTTCTAAAAGTTTCAAATTATAATGTTATAAAAACTAATTACTTATTTTTACTTTGTACATGTTATTTTCAGCAATGGCTGCTAAAACTTAATATTTTCTCATTAAAGACTTAATATAACTTAGAAAGAATAAATTTTATGTTATTTTTTGATCTTACATATCAATTCTTATGTAATCGTGTCTTTTTACATAAAAAAAGATTCTGATATCATTAGAAATAACAATAATAAATACAATTTTATAAAATATTTTGTGCGTTTTTACTTATAGCATATAAATAAGTATTTCAACATAGAAAAAGTTTCATACGACCGACGATAACGACGAGTTCACGTACACGCTACCCGTTGACAAAACCGGATTTTTCCAGCTCGAACTGTTGACAACCTCAGATTGAGTGCGTGACGCTTAAAAGAAAACGCGCACACAAGTACTAGTATACCTTCTATCGTTGAAGAGTTGTATGAAGCTTTATCTACGTAGCAATATTTACTCATGTGATTTATATCTAAAACATTCTATTTTAAATTTTGAAGGCAACAATTTTGAGCTATATGCCATTTAAATTTATATTTTTTCTAATACACACAAAATTCTAAATATTATTTCTTTAGTTTATACAAATTATTTACAGCTTTGAGATAAATTAATTAATTTCAAAGTCAAAATAATTTTCATTTTGCCTTCAGAATCTAGAGGCTTCTTTTCAATGAAAAAGCTTTTGAAGTACCAATATTATTATAGTGTAACGCAAATAGAATATTATTGGTTGTGTCTAAAATATTTTGTAATTAATTATTTCATAACTAAATATAAGCGTTTAAATTATTTAACTATAAAGGACTTTTTTTTACTAAACTTATTTATATTATAAAATTAACATTATAAATATATATACAAATATATTTCTAAATGCTAAAGTAAATAAGGCATGAAATGGACCTTAAATCAGCATTAGTTTTTAGCGCTACTAATTCATATCTTCATTATATTTAGATTTTACGTATATACTTGTGTCTATGTACTAAAATAAAACTATTTTTTTTTACGTGAAAGTTTTTAAAATCATACCCAAACACACAGGTATCAGGTCAGAAAAGTGGACCGTAACGAAAAAGGTTGCATTAGGTTGCCATAGTAACCGTTGTTATTGTCTGAAAAATTATTATATATAATATCTTATATATAAAATTTCCATGTCACAATGTTTGTTACCGTACTCCTCCGAAACGGCTTTACCGATTTTTACCAAATTTTATATGCGTATTCAGTAGGTCTGAGAATCGGCTACTATCTATTTTTCATACCCCTAAGTGATAAGGATAAGGGTGGTCCTCCCAGACCCCACCCCAGGGACAAACCCGAGCGGAGCGAGGGTGAGTCGCTAGTATATATATGATATTCATTCCGTTACTAACTTTGTTTTTAAATATGCGAAATATTTATAAAAAAGCACTAAAAGGGACTCCCTGAAATCGACCTTTTACGTTAAACCAACGGCGGTGAACCCAACACAGCCCCACTTGATTATTTTACTCTCCTAAGCTATTTTGTTTCAAAGTAAAAACGCTCAATTATCACGTGTTAATTTAATAAATTAGTACTATATACGTGTATAATCTGTGAAACCATATTTCATATAAGTAGCCCCATTTTAACTACACCATCTATAGGTTTTAAATATATCGCATGACCCTCTTCAGTTATACATTAAGGACAGATACAGCAGAAACCTAATAATTGAATATTATTTAAAATAGTAAGTTTTGTTTATACTCTAATTGTTTTATTACTATCCAAAATGTTATATTACAGTTTATCATGCTGTTTTAACTTTTTACCTATTTAAACCTAAGCCCAATATTGTTATGACGAAGCCTTAGTTTTCAATAATAACACGGGCCAGTACATTGTGACGAAGAGAAGAAACAGTGCTGGGAACACCACTCTTGATAGTTTATCGATTTCTCTCCATAATACTCTTTCTTGGCCCGTGTCAGCGTCAAGCCAGGCAACCTGAAAATACCAAATAGTTTTTATTGTAACAATTAAAAAAAAATTACGGACAACCAATAATACTTTCATTATCCTTTTTTTTAAGTATTCAGCGACATTTCAATACGACGGAACTCAGGTCATAGTCCACTACGCAGGTACCCATATGGCCAGTGTGGTGGACTATGGCCTGATCCCCCTCGAATTGAAAGGAGGCCCGTGCCCAGCAGTGGGACGTAATATAAAAAAAGGGCTGAATACAAAGATATATGTTGTACAACCTATCACTAGTCACTGTTAGAAATAATGTAGCCACTAATGTCCAAATAAATGAAAAAACACTCACTTGTAATATACTTTGTCGTCTTTCAACGCCAACTAAATGTGGAGTTGCCCCGGGAGCGGGATGAACGGCGGGCGTTGTAGCCGGAGGGGATGTTGGGGAAGTGAGATCCACTTTCCGACATCGAACCCCGCTACCTTCCCAAGCTGCAACTGTTCCACATGACCCTTTCTCTCCGTTCAAACGCTGTAAGAAACCAAATCATTGTTTCGATATCAAAGCCAATTCTGAAAATTTAATACGTATTAAATGCATAGTAATATTAGTATATTTTCTAGTCTAGACTGATTTTTTTAATATTTTCTTAATGCTTTTTTACTTTGAATTTTATTATATTACCTACTTGGAATTTAATATGTAGCGCATAAAGTATTTTAATTTGAAAAAAAATATATTATATAATATTAGTATATTATTTAACATAAAATATTTAACATATAAATATGTCTAAATCAGACGAACTTCTTACGATTCTTCACAAAAATAAGTAAAAGAAAGTATTTTCTATAATATCACTAAATAAAAAGGTAAGTATTTCTGTAATAAATTTTCTTTTCTTTGTTTTGTAAATAACGTCCTCAATTGTCTAAATGGCCGATAAAAAGAAAACATCTTGGTACACTCGTATTTTGTGAGTAAATATATTTAGTGGATGTAAGAATGTTTAAATACGTTTGTTGCTTTAGTTATTGAAATTGTCAATAAAACTAGCAGAATCCGCGGCTTCGCCCGCGTTCAATCTACAAAAAAAACTCTTTTGATTTATGTTATATAGCGACTCACCCTCGCTTCGCTCGAGTTCGTCCCTATGTATGTATGTAATATTATTATTTGGATATTGTTCATACTAAAATACTAAAATTGCGATTAAAAAATCGTTAGTGGGGGTACAAAGGGAAAAAACACTTTACGATCTATTTTCATACCTACCAAATATACAAAAAAATATATCGGTCGAGCCATTTTGGAGGAATGCGACCACAAACACCGTGACACGAGATATTTATATGTTAGATAAAATGTGTCAAAAAGTTACCAAAAATATTTACTGTCATCATTTAATGCACATATTTGTCTCACACAAATCAAAATCAAACTTGCGACGTTCCATTGTTATTCTAAATAAATATACAAAATTCTTATATTATAGATTCGCTATGTTGTTGTATAAATATTTTCTTTTGCTTTACATAGAGTTGCCCTTTAATTAACATTTACCTTTACTGCCCACGCTCCTTTCATAATTATCCAAATTTAATAAGACTATTCAATTTAGAATTTACATACTCGTCTATACCGATAAATAAAATTGAAGTGTTTGTTTGTAATGTTAAAATAACAGCTTATTACTAAATGCATATGGAATTGTGTATGGTATTTATTAGAAAAACACAATTTTTAAACTTGGCCCAACTCGGGACTCGAACCCAGGACCTCTGGATTTGCAGGCGTACATGCTAGCTACTAGACCACCGAAGCAGTGAACTGAAAAAATGATAACGGTTACTCAAAATAGACATACCACTGGTATAATTCTGGGTAAGTCCTGAGCTTTTGATTTATTCATTTGGTACTGTTTGTCAAGAACTTTGACTACCACGAACTCTCCTAAAGCTGCGAAGACGAACATCATACAGCCAGCCATCCAAAGATCCAATGCCTGTTTAATTAGATTGATGAAAAAATTATTGGTCATAGAAAATAATCTATTTTCATTCGTATAATCAAATAAAAAAATATTATAGGCTTTGGAATAGCGATATTTTTGTAAGGAGCAGCTTTTGTGTCTACGAAAAGTTTAAAATATTGAACGTTAACTAATAAACTTATTGTACTTACATTTTTACTTTGTTAACAAGATTTACATAGATATTTGAACACGACTTGTTAATTATTGATTTATTAGCTGTAGGTTTATTTCATTCAAATTTCTTAAAATCTGATAGTATTAGTAAAATAAAAAAAACTTTTATTTCTATATTTTTTAAACAAGAATAATTTTCGTATACATACAGAATTATTGTTAAATTTTTGTCTCTTCTCATGACGATTCATCGTATTATAAATCAAAAAGTGTAATATTAAAAATTAAAACTATTTCTTTAGCTTTAATTTAAATTTAATCATCAGTTCCCGAGTTATATCTACTAACAATCACATAACATCTATATACCAAGAAATACTTGAAATTACCTTAACATATGCTACTGGTGGTATATCGGCTCTGAGTCCAGTGAACATGGTGACAAGTGTCAACATACAAGTAACTAGCAGCGTCACTCGACCAGGTATTGCATCCAAATCTAGCCAGAAGCTAAACCAGGATAGCATGACCACCAAAGAGGACGGCGCAAAAGTCTGTATAAGATGATGGCCGATTTGACGTTCAAATCTAAAGTAGACGACCAGTCTGGAGTAGTTACCTAAAATATATGGAAAATATCATAATATTTTAGGGATAACAAGTGATTCTGAATAATATTTTGCTAAAACTACCAACTGTACTTAATAAACTAGCGTAAGTCACTCCTCAGCTCTTAATATATATCTATAAAAAATCATGTTGATCTGTTATTTAAATGATGTGAGAAAGAAGATTATATCAGCCATCACTTTTTCATATTTATTGGAATCTCAGGATATTAATAAAAATTGTATGTAATAATTTACTATACATATATACTCTATTACTCTGTAAATAGCAGGTTCAATTCTCATACGAAGCTATTATATATTTTTTATTCATCTTGGAAACGAAAACTAAAAATTTGTGTAGCGATGTCCTCTTCATCGATCATAGCGTACAATTATTTACAAAAACTTTATATTGTAATGTTCATCATGCTAGCGACCCACCCTCGCTTTGAGCCTATAACTGAGTCCCGAAAATTTTTCAAGAGCTTATATTGAAATTTCCCACAGGAATAACAAATCATTCTAATAAATATATGCATATTTTATGTCCATTATGGATGCATTAAAGTGAGGGAAAATGTAAAACTAAATACATATATTGTGTTTAATAGTTAATATATTTACCGTCTTTATCAATCATATATCCATTAGTCTCTTCTAACCGCAACGGCTCGCCGATGTGATATTGCAATAATTTTAGTTCAGGATTTATTGTAACTCCCGCGTCACTCCATCGAAACCGTACTTTTTGATTACTATACGAAACTGTTAAATAAATATTTCTATTGTTAGAAACTATTATTCGCACATTTTTGAGGACTTAAACTTGAGGTAAGGTTCTAGAAGTAACCCCCCCCCAACGTGCGTTCACCTTGTCGTGGTGGGGGGGCTCAGTAGTGCCCGGCAATCCAACCGGGCGCGAAGCTAAGAAACGCACAGGGAGGTTGCCCACTTCGATGGGCGGTGGGAGGTGGCCCTCTTCGGGGGGCGGTGTACCATGCGGGTTGCTCCTGGTACTTCTCTGATAGCAGAGTGGACTGTGGAGCAACCCCATGGTTGTGGTGGTCTGCTTCGGCAGACCTGCCGTCGGGGCGTCGTAGTTGAATGCGTAAGCGATCCTGCGACGCCCCATTAAGACGGGGGAAAGTTTTGTTGGGTTTTAGTGGGTAGTACTGGCTATATTACACCGGTGAGTCCCACACGTCGTGCGTAAATGCATTTCCCAACGTTAAAAAAAAAAGGTTCGAAATGAAGTATTTTGTAGCGAACATAATAATTTAAATAAATTTGATCGATGCTACTCGGAAAGCACTTAGGCTAAAATTGTACTGGCTAAACTGGTCATGCCATCCGAATGCCAATCTTTGGTCTTTTCATCCTCTTTGTATTACTAAACTATTTTTGAATATTCCAACACAATACCTAGATGAAAATAGGATAGATCTATACGTAGATGGCAAAGAGAAATGAAAAAAAAGTAGGAAGGCCTTTGCCATACATTGGGACAATGGAAATTTAAAATAATTATTATTATACTATCAACTTGGTACGTTTTAATTTTTTTGAGCGGAACCTTTATTCTTTTTCTAAAACAAAAGTAGCTCTAAGTTACTCCTTATAACCTCAGCTATCTGTGAAAGTGCAAGTGAAAGTTCTGTCAAAGTCAGTCCAGCCGTTTCGGAGATAAGCCGTAACAAACAGACAGACCAAAAAAAAATAAGAAAATGTGATTTTATTATAAGGACCGTATTTAGAATTTCATATACTTTTCGTAAAAAGCTGTTATTTTGATATTACAAACAGACACTTTGATTTTATTTATCTGTATAGATATAAATAAATTTTACCGCCTAAAGAAATATAATCAAGATTTCCATTTCCACAGAATAAAAACAAAATTATTATATTATTTTAGAGAAATTGATCTGTATTCGACAGCTTAAAATAAATAATATTTTTTATAAGAAAAAAATATGTTTTAAAATATATTATGTAAGTTCAAAAATACAAAATACCAACTTTTTATTACGTAAGCAAAAAAATACAAAAATTAAAAATCCGACTGCGTAAAAAGCTAATAAAATCGTTACAAATAAGTCGACGAAGAAACATAGTATTATGTAGTCGAAGACATACACTTGCAGCTATTATAAAACATGTACATACATAATATGTATGTATGTCTCCGACTGCATAATACTATGTTCTTTCGTCAACTTGTTTTCATCTTGTTAGTTCGCTTTTTACGCAGTCGGATTTTTTTTTATTTTTGTACATTTTTTTTTACTATTTGCTTTTATATATGAATAGAAATTTTAACATCATGGTAATTTTTCTGTTATATATTAATTTATTGTCGTTATATATTTTAGAATCAAACAGAATTTTCGTTAATGTAGTTTAGTGGACAATTTTAGTAGGTACTGACAAAGACTTTTGTTATATGAGTTACATGAATTCTACCAATTTTTTATCCAGTAATTATTATTTATAGCTGTCATGTTTATTTGGCCCGTAGTTTGACTTGCATATTTTATTGTTATTTTGTGACAAATATGTAGATATATTTTTTATATTTTTTTTTGTTAAAATGTGTTATTATTTATTAAATGTGTGATTATTCCTTACATACATACAAATGAAGAAACATTATTCGAAAGTAATAAAAACTAAACTCGCTTCTAAGAAATAATTGAACTAAAACGTATTTGATATTATTATGTATGCACAATAAAACAAGTTATATCATACATATGAAGTAATTGGTGTAACTTCTGTGGCGATCCGATTAAAATAAACACTCCCTCGGTAAACATTAAAATAAAGGTTAAATAAATTCATTGTATCGAATGGGGAACACGTGACTTATAACTATTAAACAGACTCGCTCGACTCAGCATACTTTACTTAATTAGTTAAACAAAAACTTACAGCTTTCTATATAAATGGGACAGGACTGTATGTCCATGGGGTAAAGTTGAAATTCCATTTGGCAAGCAATGATTGCGTGCATTCGTGCGGCATACCGCACCGTCTGATTCCTATATAAGGTTACCGACGAAAATTTGTGCGTCAATTCTGCTATTTCTGTTGATGAAAATTTAATTTTTATTATATATTGAATGTTTATTGAGAATGATATTCAATTTTACTTCTTGCCATTTGACCTAGTGCTTGTAATTTGTTGCATGTGCTAATTATGTACTTTTTAATGTAGGAAATTTCGTAAATTGCTGGTTGGTTCACAAACGTGCTCATTATATTTTGATAATTATAAAAATTGTGAGAAACTTGTTCATCCAAGCTGAGTGTCTTTTAGTGTTACTAGTTCTATTTAATAGAATAAAAAGTTGCTTAAATATGCTTATGTTTAGTAAAAAAATATTATAAATTCGTAACATTCAACATTAAATAAATTTAGTTAAAAGTTTTTATATATTAATAATAATTAAAAATTTGGTGAACGTGTAAGTATTTATTAATGTGCTCCGCCAATGTTGTGAGATAACAGATATAAAAGGAGCAAATATCGTACCAGCAGATTGATGACAAAAGTGGCAAGCTCCTCCTAAAATCAAAAACTTAAATGTAGTAGACGATTTGATACCTCAGCTTAGTTGAACAACTTACATGACGATATAATGTACACAGTTCTTAAACAAGCTTACTTTTTAAGTAGAGCTCTCGAATTCTTATTCGTCTGCTCTTAATACACTAAAATAAACTTTAATATTGCTGTTTCCATTTTTTGCTTTTCAGTCAGATGTTCAAGTTATTTCTGCCAATTCAAACTCTTGGGAAATATTGTTCCACTATTTATTTATACTTGTATAGGAAAAAGTTAAATTATTAATATAGATAAAACGCAAGGTTATATACCAGTAACTTTAGAATTTAGAAAATAAGGATCTGGATGCCAAAGGTTGTCAAAGAATTCTGGAGGCAGCGTGACATGGTCGTCACCTTCCTCAAATATATCATCAGGCAACTGCAATCTACTCTCTCGCCAGGTTTGTCTTATAAACATATCCACTCTGCAAACAATATAAAAATTATTTGTACACGTGATAATGGAAAAATAATACATTATTTTTCTCAAACTAAAGCTTTTGGTAAAAATGGGAACACTTTTCAAGGGTCTTGAAGGACAATTAATATCGTATGTTTAACTGCCTCGGTGGTGTAGTGGCTATCATGTACGGTTGCATACCCGGAGGTCCTGGGTTCGAATCCCGGGTCGGGCCAAGTTTAGTTATTAAGTCTTTCTGTATAGTAAGCCTCAGTAACAGTCTGGAGTTGGGAAGTTGGCGGTGTTTCATCCCCGTGCCTCGGAGAGCACGTAAAGCCGTCGGTCTTGCGCCTTAACTCTCACCGGTCGTGTCGAGCAGTCGTCCCACCGGAGTATGAGAGTGACAGGAATTGTGCACTATATTATCTCCTGCGCAGTTGGCTAGTCTCAATGAAATTGGCCGCCGTGGCCGGGATCGGTCAGGAGAACATCATCAATATCGTATGTTTAAATACCAAATTAATATTTTTACCAATGCTTATTTATAATTTTAAATTTATACCTGAAATCCATGTCTTCGACATTTATTGAATTAACGTCGACCACGTAGATGCTGAACTCTACAACAACTGGTTGACCTTTACGAGATGGAGGCCGCATTTCTAAAAATATTAAAAACTTATAAATACATTTTTTGGACAGTCAATAGTGTCAGTAGCCAGACATTAAATTATCCACTTGCCATTCTATTTAGAACATAATAAAAACACACACATATATACGAATATATATATATATATATATATATATATATATATATATATATATATATATATATATATATGTTTTTATTCTCTTGAAATTTAAGCAGCTTTATGATTAATTAATTATTTTAAAACTTATATAACTTTTGTATCTGGTTTTTAAACATCGTAATTAGAGTAAAATTAATTAATCCACCAACTTTATGAAATATTTTTACCGACAACTTTAAAACTGTGTAATTTAAAACCTAAAAAGTTACACTCGAGTTAATTTTTTTACAGCCTTTTATTTTATTTTTTATTATCTCTCATATTTTTAACTACTTTTAAATTTAAACAATCAATATCTATAATAATTTTCTTCGGTTTAATTGTATTATTTCAGCTATATCTTGTATATATAATAGTCTAGTTCCGTTCCGTTCAGGAAGTCTATATTGTTACATTTTATTCAAAATATTTTAAATATTTTTTTAGCTACCAATAGCAATACGAAATCGCATATGTCACGATCGATTTCTTCAAAACCGACTTCAAAATAATATACTGAGTGACGGATGTAACGTCGGTAGGAGTGAGTGAGAAAATTATTTGTATCTTAGAATCAGACAAACGAACACAAAAGGGTTAGATGGTACAAGTCATGGCAATAGCAGACAACTGCAGCAGTTAGACCTTAAAGAAACCTTGCTGGCTGAAGGAAAAAATGTCAAAGAAGATGGTTTCGGAAGAATATTTTACAATACGGCCACTTATAATAGTTCTTTGTAAAAATGAAATATTAATACGATTATTTTAGCTTTTATGTGTTATAATTACTTACAAAGCCGTTTAAAATTTCGTATCAATTTAAATAATGAGGTCTTAAATTATAATTAAATATTTTTTTCTTTGTAAATGTACAAAATTTTGTTCCACGAACGTGTAATAAAATTTTAACTAAGTTAAGAGCTTTTATTAGTGCTTGGAAACTGCAACGGTATGTGGAACTTTTCAATTTATAAATTATCTTGCTTCAAAAATCTCATAAATTTATTGCTCTATGAAAAGTACAAAACAACTGATCAGCAACGAAAAATATATCTTCTTTCTAAACCACTTACAAAATTTTATGAAATATCATTTATAACTTACTTTCATACATTAATCAAGACAGTTTTATGCTAATACCTATTTTAAATTGGCTACACTCCCTATATCTACCTAATCTAATTTATAATGTAGTTGACATTTGGTGTAGCCTAGTTTGCTTTGTAGTTGAATCGGTATTGTGGAAATATTTGCTATTGGTCTTAAAGAGGCTATTATTCTCATTCTTTGTTTCAGAATTTTATTTACCAATTTTTAGAAATAAGCGCTTATACTGAAAAAATAAATAAATAATATTTTTCAAAGCCAAAGAAGCTGATTGACCTGATTTTAACTTTTAAGAAATATGCTATAACATTCCCTAAACTTAAAAGTTCTTATAATTAATCTGTTGGATCACAGTCGAAACAGCGATTATAAAGAAATCTACTCAGATTCTCAAGAAGTGGTAAGGTTTTATTGATTTACATGGAAATATGGAAATCGTTTTATTTTATATGGAATATAACAATCGATATGCCTTAGTCATTAATTTACTGAAATCTTACAAAGTATCGTTTTAAATGTTAACGTCAGGTGATAGGTGTCGATAATTTTAGATTTCTATCGGATCATATCGTTTCAGATTTGATATTTTAGAAAAACTTACTGAATGACTCTACAATAGGGGATCATTCGCACTGTTCACTATTTAGGATCAGTATATTATGATGCTAACAGGCATGACGTATCTAGACACGCGGTAGCGTGTTCAGCCAAGTTCAAGCCAAAGAAACTGGCGCCGCAGCACCATGTGTATGTAATGTGTATATATATATATAAAATATTTACACAAACCATTTGGAGCTACTTTTCATCTCGTAATGACTCAAAATCTATTTAACATATAATTATGAAATTTGGTTCATTTATTAAATCCCCTTAGATAAAATAGAATCCCCAATTTCATAAATATAGCTCAAACAGTTATTGAGATATTAACGTGTAAAAATTGGCATTTTTTCACTGACTGACTGACATATAGTAGTAAAACCTAACCCACTTCCAGATGACCTAGAAATTTGAAATTTCGTAATTGCGTGCATACAAAGGGAAAAATCCGAAAACAGTACATTTTTTTAATTTGAAAAGAAAATTAAATTAATTTTTATTAACATCTTGCACCTTCCAAAATATAATAGCAATAGCTTAACATCTACTACCTTTTGAAATATAATAGCAATAGCAATCATAGTAATAACAAAAACTTTTTCTTTCTCAGGAGAAAAGGTTCCATAATGATTAAATAGCATTTCAATATTCCGCCTTATCCATTAACAAATAGTCGCAAAATTATGAAAAGACGTTAAATTTTAAATTCACTTACTCTGTCACACACAAGTCACTTTGGAATTATGAATAATAATAGTTTCTTTACAAAATGTATGTAATAGGAGCCAAATTCAATATTAAGAATATGCGTGGGTGTCAACTTCACCGACAAAAGAATTCAGATCTAAATAGGTGCCAAGTTCTGTTGATAATCCAGATTTTTTTTTCATAAGAACATACAACATTATAAATTAATTTTAAAACACAATTTCTTGTTTTTTTCTGCTTTAAAATTGTTTGCTATTTAAAAACAGAACTTCTTAAATTTGAACAGTCGAATTATTTACATAGAGTAGATAACTTAGCATAAATAGAAGTTCAAGATTTGACTTGGCTAGTTTTTACCAGTAAAGCAAGTTTTTAGAAGAGTGAAATATGTTGACCTTGCAATATAAAAACAATAACTTGCATAAAGAAGATATAAATGATTAAGCGAATATAAGAAAACTTGTATGTTGAAAAGTTATTAGTGACCTTACTAGCTGTGCCAGCGGTCGCAGGTTCGAGTCCCGCTGGGGCGTTCTTTTGTTTAATGAGCACGAATGTTTGTACTTCAGTCGTGGGTGTTTATATGTATAATATGTATGTATGTAGTATGTATTTAAAGTTATATATGTGTAGTGCATCGACTACTTGGTATCCATAACATATGCCTCGTAGTTTACCATGGAACTATATGGTGCTGTGTGTTATTCTAACATATTTATTATTATTATTATTAAGTCTCGCAAGAGAAGCAAAATGACATGTGGCGGCTCACACGGAAAACGTCTCTTTTAATAATGAATTAGATACTAACCTTTAACATAGTTTTCCGGCAACACGACTCGTGGTTTGAGCGTGTGATTTCTTTTCGACGTCACATCATTACACAGCCTGAAAAATTAAATAAAACACATATTATACATATATTATGTGCCACGTACATGACCATCTCTGTCTATATATAATCTTTAGGCTATCATTCATCATATCTGTCCATATGAATATAAGGCTAAGACAGATTTAATTGTTTTTTTTTTTTTAAATATACAACAAATTCAATAATATTCAAATCCATTGGGACCTTAATCTAACGTAAATTCTAATTAAGAAATTGTTATCAGCTTAAAAGTTCGATAAAAAGGAAAGAGAAAATTGTTTGTATATATTTAGAGGATAATCTCAGGAAGTATTAAGTCTTTTTTCAACCGAATTAAAAAAAAGAAGGTTATCATTTCGACACGTATGTAATTACGTAGCTCAATAAGCCCAGCAATGTATTTAGGAATATTATATGTCGTGTTTTTTTAATACTAGCGGCTCACCCTTGCTTCGCTCGGGTTCGCATCTAGACAAACAAAAACAAATCTATCCCACAGGAACCGTACATTTTTCCGGGATAAAAAGTAGCTTATTTGTTATTCTAACGAATGAACTAAATATATTATTGTAAAGTTTTATTAAAATCCAAACAGTAGTTTTTGTGTACTAAGCTGTATAAGTTACTATAGTTTTTGACTATCCCACGGGAATTCTTTAATTTTTCGGGATGAAAAATATCTAAAATGTTGATCGGGGATATAAGCACCACCATGCAAAATTTTATTTAAATCGGTCGAACATTTTCGGAGATTAACCCGTACAAACAGACAGAGAAACACAAAAATTGAAAAATTCTGCATTTGTTCTATTTCACTTCTTACACCCCCCTGACTCAGTTTTTAGCATTTTTTTCTATGTACAGACAATCGACCTCTACAATTTTATTATATGTATAGATTTGGTAGGTATTTTCTTACTGGCACCAACCAAAAATATTTGGAGACTCCTAAATTGTTTAGTACCTACTGTTGATTTCGTACTTGTTGGTCAATTTAGTATATTATATATATATAAAAAAAATAGATTTCATAATTTCAAATATTTTTTAAGTCGATTTAATTTTTTTTAAATTACTTTTAAGACTTCTTTTATAGATATTATCCTGAACGCGAAAGGAGCAACGGATAAATAAATGCTCGTGAGCGGTTTTTGTTAGGATTAATTATTTTCATTTATATCAGAAAATAGTATGGAGGAAAGAAAAAGAAATAATTTTAACAGTTTATAATTGTTTTTTTTTTGTGTAATGTGAATACAAATCTTCTTCAGAATATGTATAGTAATTATTAATTTTATTTCGACTGTAAACTAACCGATGTGATTTGTAGCTTTGTAACTAAACTATGATGACGTCAATGATTTAGTTATTTCGCCAACATAGCGTGAGCTTAATAATAGGGTATCCACAATTTTATTACTTCTTGTACCAATTCGCTAATGATGCCTATTTCTATTTTTAGTAGCCATAAAATTAAAATATTTTCACGCCATTTATATTTTTATTACCGACATAGTATTTGTGCTCACGATAAATATTTACTGTGTTTAAAACTTTCTACTTTATAAAGTGAAAATTTACCCAAATATTATAGATATAGACAGACATTTGTCATAAATAGATACTCAGTATATGCAGGTGACCGAAACTGGCTCTGTGGTTTAGTGGCTAGCATGTACGCTTGCAGAAACGGAGGTCTTGGGCTCGAGTCATTGGTCATCTGTACCTGACCAAGTCCCTCTTTTTTTAAACTTGGGAAATGCATTTACACATAACACCCGTATATATACGTACCCGTATACGGGTGGTTATGTGGGACTGTACTAAAGCCTATACTATCTACTAAAATCCAACAGAACTTCCCCGCCTTAATGGAGAGTCGCAGGATGGCTTATGTACTCAACCAACATGCCACGACGGCAGGTCTACCAAAGCAGACCACACAATCAAAGGGTTGCTTCCACGGTCCACTGACCTGACGAAGTCCCCTTTTTTAAATAATTTAATTAAAAAAATATATCATCCAAAATCGCTTATAACCGTATGCTTTTTAGTACCTTAGCGGTATAAAAACATCTTGGAAAAGAAACAAAATAATTTCCAAATACAATAAATTGTGGCAACCCTATTCATTCTTACTTTAACTTGTAGCGTGTTAAAATGCACTGGTTTGAGCTGTCATAGCTGTCTGCTTCCAATGCTGGTATTAAATATTTTATAAACTAAATTTATAAAAATGATTTATTTCTTAGCTAGCAACATGAAATATTTCTATTGGAAAATTTATAACTGAAAATCCCTTTTTTCATAAAATTAAGCTCATCGACTACGATTTGACAAAACTCGGTTTATATTATGGAGTCATACTGTGTGTACATTTAATGTAGATGATGACGCTTCTGGGCTTTAAGTAGTAGATACTGTTCTTGATTAATGCGAGTACCTACTTCGCTTACACGTGTTTTGCGTGTGCGTTTTAATGTTTGTTCTTTCTAGGGAACGCAGTGACTGCATGTATTTTATTTAATAAAGATATTTAATTGACTATTGATAAATACATGAAATATATAATTTCTGTCTATTCATAACTAGCAACTCACCCTCGCTTCGCTCGATTTTCTTCCTGGGTTGCTTCCCTATACAAACTTTCACCCCCATTTTCACCCTCTTTAGAATATTAGTTTTTATCCCGGGGGGATATCTTATGTCCTTCCCAGGATCTCTAACTATCTTCTTCTTAAATCGGTTTAGTAGTTTCTGAGCCTATTCGATACAAACAAACAAACAAAAAACGGATTTTTCTCTTTATAATTTTAGAATAGATGTAAATATTACGTATATATTTAATTACGTACGCGCGTAAGTATATATTTAACAAACTACACATTTTCACGTAGCACAAAAGCTTTTCCACAAAACTGTTCGTAGAAAATAGTAGTTAACTCATGCGTGACTTATAGATAAGAAAATAGAAACTATTATACGGTAAAGTTAAAAATAGAATCCGGCATAGCGCCCTAATTCAAAAAGAACTAGTTCAATTTATTTATTTAAAACGTTGCATATCACAAATGACGTTAGAATTTATCCGGGCCAAGGTAGCGTCATCGATTGCTATATTAGAAGCACGCAAGCTATATTTAGATTTGTGGCATTTTCACTTGTCCATTTGAACAAATGTTATTTCACCGCAAGGAAGCACAAACGGACAATAATTCTTAATAGAACTCTACTAAAACGGACCAATAACGCATATTTGTTATATCGTCGTTGTAATATGAGACGAAATACGGTGAGATTAGATTTTATTTTTGATTGACTTCAATAACGAAGAGATGCTCGATACAGATGGCTTTTTTGTGAGCGTGTTAAGTGATATTTTTGCCTATTGACAACATTTTAACTTGGATGAGCCCCAAACTCTAAAATTATATAAATATTTATATTTTTCTTTAATACTGGAAATTTCTTTATGACTTCACTTATTAGATAGGAAAGATCTAAAAAATGGTTTTAGACAAGCCTGACTAAATATAATTTTATAACAATAATTTTCGAACACGTGTGTTTTCATTACAAATTACTACATCAGAAACTTAAAATTCTTAAGAAACATTCATAGCGACTAATTTAAGCGATAATATCGCTTGAAAACTACGAAGATATCTAAGTTAATTATAGACTTCGGCCCGACAAATTCGTGGTATTTTTTTTCTTCATTTGACGAGGCAGATTTAAGCGCCAATTATATAAAGGACACCATTACATATTTGTATGTATAAAGCCCTTTTGAACATTTCACTGCACTGGTTTCGCACCACGAGTCTCATCAGGCTTTAGTCCACCACGATGGATAATGATTTGAATTCATAATATTATAATGAAATGAAATATTCATAATTAATTAATTAATTTAGGACTAAAAAAGTCCACTTCAAAATATGCCGCCCTTTGCGGTGAACACACGCCCAAACAGTTATTTTATGTTCACAAACTCCATGCCTTTGACCCCAACTTCCGGTGTGACGAGAATTCGATACTACCGGTGGTACATGGGGGCGAAACACTGCTAACTTTCGAATTCCCAGCTGTTACTAAGATTTTCTCGATTGAAAGCTCCAAAAATTATACTTTGGCCTATTCAGAACTCGAACCCAGGAACTCAAAACTTTCAGACGTGCAGTATGTGTACATAAACAAAAAAAATACAGCCGATTTGAGTACCTCTCTCTGCCATTATTAAACCTCTGTCTTTATATTGCTTTTACATGCCATTATAAATGTTTTAACTAGGATAATCTTATTTTTGTAGGTTTTTTAAATAATAGCTTAATATTCAAAGCAAATTTAAAAATCATTTGCAAGAAAATATTTTTTTTAATAAAAAAATGAAAAATATCATATATTTTGCTAACAACGTTAGAAATGTCTGAAAATGTAACACTATTTAATGAAAACCACAAAGTTTTTACTTATACTAACGAGTGGTAACGAAGCGAGTTTTGTTTATGGCGCTATTCGTATGAATAATGTAAAATTCGTCACATTTTCTCTAAATGGGTTAAGTAAAAATATTATTTGGCGTTACGAATTTTCAAAGAATTATGCAGTTTGCACAAATATTGTTTTGATTGAAAATGTACAAATTGAGATTAATTTTAATCTTCCCTTTCTGCGAATATTTATTCCATTGTGGTAATTCATGAAATCGGCGTTTAAAGCTCCGCTTCCACGGAAGCGGAGCTTTAAGCGCCGATGTGTGAAACTAGTAAAGTGTAATAAATTATTATTAAAAAAAAACATTTTTTTAAACAAGCTTTTAAATTTCATATAAATTGTGTAATGTAATAAATAGGTTTGATTTAATTTAAAGTTTCTTTTTATTTTTTAGGTATTTATTCGGAATCTTCTCAACCAACCCTTTTATTTGATATCTATATGGGTGCATAAAATAAACATAGTCCGCCATCGTTGTGAGTCCGCCATGTTGGATTTAGAATGACGTCATTTATCT